CTCTTTCCCAGGCTTATCTCCTTAGTGACATATCTAGAGCTCTACAGAAGTTTTTGGAGCTCCAGGAATGTTCACACAAGGAGCCTGGAGAACCTGGAGTGCTGTGAACCTGCATTTTCACTTCCAGCACAGCAACTTCCCCATGGAGTTAGGTCCTGCAGCACTGATAAATCAGTCACATCATTCACTCTGGGCTGAGCTCTGAAAGGCTGGAAAAAGGATTTTATACAGGTGTGAAAGAGCATTGGGATAGGCTGGTGCTGCCCTCACATCTCAGGGATTTTGTAGGAGAAAGATCCAGTTTTCCTTATTGTCACAAATGTCTAAATTCCTACTTTTCTCTTCCAGTAGTAGAACCAAGGTCTGCTTTGAAACCCACTTCTCAGGCACAAGGTTTTCCATTGAAGAGTGTGACACTGATTTACAGCTGCTAGAAACTGGCTTTCTTACACCCCAGGAGAAGGCTTCTATTTTAGTGAACTCTAAGAGCCCTCCTGCCTCTTGCAAATTCTATGTGTGCAAAACTCTGTGTCCCCTGCTTTTGTCTGGAGTTACTTTCTCAGCAGTAGAAAAGCTGGCTGAGAAACCACCAGCTCTTGTTGATGGTGTATTCCCCTGGGTTGTACTGGCTTCAGGTGCATCTTGGTTTCCATTGTTTGTTTTGTTTTTAAACTAGAAATCCTTGTTCCACTGTAAAAATGGCCAAGGAGGGTACATGGTTTATATCCTTTTTTGGGGGGTTTATACAGTAAACAGTAAATATTTTGGCTCTGGAAGGACAGATTGAATTAAAACCCTTAGCATAGCCTGTTACTTCATGTGCAGCACATGGTTCATGTCAGAAAGTATTGCTTATGAAATGATATCCCCTCAACTGCCAGGAGAGGCTCCAGTGGAGAGGACCTTGTACAGCTGTGGAAATGTGGAAATTTTCTTTGGAAATGGAAAATCAGTTTTGCAATGCCCTGGATGAAACACTGAGGAGCACCAGATCTTCCCCTCGTGTTGGTATTTCAAGCCAGCAGGATGAAGTGCCTTTCTACTTTCTTTCCAGTCCTACCTTCATTGCTTTTCCCAAGCTATCCCAAAGCCCTGAGTCCCGTGGTCAGTACAGGAAATGGACAGGGAATTGTACACCTTGCTCTTCAGCCCAAGGTTTGTGAGGCTGTGAGAGACAAAGTCCTCTTAAACATCAACAGATGAAATCCCTGGGTGAGGCATTTCCTTTTGTTTTCCAGCATTCCTGGAAGTCCTGGCTGGGTAAATCACATCTCCCAACTCCTGGCATTGCACAAGCATTTTCTGAAGCCTTTAAGGACAACATTTTCCCATGTTTTTCCCCTCTGCCTTACCTCAACAGGCTGTGTTTCTCCGAGGACAAAAATATGCAGCATGTTCACATCTGGGTCCTTCTTGAATATGTTGGGCTTGGCATGATGCTGGAAGTGACGGTGGTTCCACCAGTTTGCAGAGGCACCCTGGGCAGATCCAAGGACAAGGAATCAATCCATGGAAAAGAAAAGTCCTTCCAATGGTAGGATCAGCCCTTCACTTACAGAAACACCACCAGTGCAAACTGTGACTATGGCCAAACTGTTGTTTGCTTCTGAAATAGCAACAAGCAATGGCTGAGCTGTTGGTTGCTATGACACTGCTGGTTTTGGAGACCTGATTTGTCCTCACTAGGGACCATCCCTACTGAGAGAGCAAGGAATAAATCATCTGCTTCCATTGAGCTGAAGGTCATAATGGGAAGCTATTATTGGTAGCTAGAACCATTTAGGTTGGAAAAGACCTTTAAGAGCATCCAGTCCAACCATTAACCTACCACTACCAAGCCCACCACTAAACCCTCCTGCTGCCTCACTGATGGTTATACTGGTTTTCCTCTATTGCCTGGGAGGAACCAGGCAAGACAGAGGGGATTTGGGAGAATGGGCAAAGCTACATCCCACCCTCTCTTAAGTTCCTGCTGCAGGTGGATGCTGTAATGTCTGAACTGCCCTGGACCTTGCCCAGGTCTGAAGGCACCTTGAATGGATGGGATGTAGCAGGATGGGACATTTGAAAAATACCAAACCTCAGTGTGAAGGAAGGAGGTGGAGGGGATGGCAAAACCAGGATGTTAAAATAGGGTTTTATGCAATTCAGTAAGCTTTGTCCTCAGGTGCTATAAACTGGTGTGGTGGCACAGAAGGTTGTGGAACTCCTGTGTTCTCTAGCAGCTGTGGTTGTGCTCTCTTGTCTCTTCTGCACAGCAGCTCCATGTGCAGTGTCCACTAACTTCTCCTCTGTGCCTCTGCTCACTGCAGAAAGGTCTAGAGCTGCAATTTCCCACTTTGACATAGTCCAAGTGACTGTGGCTGTTTCCACAGTGCCCTGGTGGGTCCGGAATGTCCTTTACCTTCAGGTGTCCAATGACAAACTTGTGGACAATGTGGTTCCAGGAGGACTTCTTGAAAACAGAGAGGTGTCCAAAATCATGTTGCAGCCACCCTGCCTGGGCCTGGGATGAAGGGAAATCAAGTAGTTAGGAAGCTGGTTGGAATCAGAGTTAAGCACAAATGGAAATGGAGATAGAAGGCAAGTCTGGAGTGTGAGGAGGAGAGGGAATTGACTGAAATGAGAAGGTGAAGATCTCTGGTTTTGTTCTGGAGGGGAACATAGAATCACTGGTTGAAAAAGACCCTTAAGGCCATCAAGTCCAACCATAACCTTCACGCTGCCAGGTCCACCAACATGTGGAAGAAAAGACCAAAGAGGTGAGAAAAAGATGTGACCCACACTCAGCAGTGGGCAGGGGAGGCCAGAAGGCACCACAGGGGCAGGTATGTTGCCAGTCTTTTCTACTGTTATGAATGTTGTAATTAATTTCATTGTACTTGTAATTAATTTAACATGAAAAGTTGGTTGCACATTCGTCTTCTCCTGAGTTATTTGCAGAGCCAGTGCCCTCTGTGCCTGCTGCTTCTCACCTGGGAAGTTGTAAGGATGCAGGCAAGGATGAGGGTTGTGATCCAGCCAGTACCAAAGTATGAAACCATGAGCCAGGCCAAAACTTCCATTGCAATAATGTGGCCCAAGTAAAGAGAGAAGAACCAAGGGCTTGCTCTGAACAAGTTCATGTCCTCTGCTGTCTTCCTCAGGGCCCGGAAATCCTCCACCAGCTGGGACTGCAAAACAGACATGGCAAGACAGAGGATGAAGCTTGGTCAGGAAGCGTGAATGAGTCTAAGGAAGGCAGACAAAGTTCCATACCAAGGAACCTGGCTGGTTCTGGCATTGGTTGACTTCTCCAGAAGCAGAGAAGGACCTGCCTCCAGATGCAGCCAGGATTCTAGCTTTTCATAGGACTTTGCTATGAATAAACATCCTGAGCCCACGTCCTGACCTCCTGCACTCTGAGCTAGGAGAGTAATTCAAGCTGCTGCTGTGAATCAGCAGCAGGACCTGGCTCTGTGGACAGTGACCTCAGCTGCTGACTCTGGTCTGAAAGAGCTTTACAAGTGCTAAAGAGGCAGCTGGAGAAAGAGAATCCAGCCCTGGAACTTCTGCATCATTCCAGGTGCTGAGCAGCCCAGATCAGAGCACCCACCAGCTATTCACCAGGTGGGTCAGCTCCCCTGCAGTCATTCCTGAGAAGCATTCCTGGGTGAGGGAGGGTGAGCACCCTCTCTCCTATTGTGAGTGGACACAGATAATCATGGCCTGTCACACACAACGGGCCAGGATTGAGTTTCCTGGCAGGAGCTCATCATGCCCTGCCCCCTGCCTGAATAATGGATGAACAGACTGGCTGGGAGGGACATGGAGCTGCCCTGAGGATGCTGAGCAGGTGGGAAAAGGAACTTGCTGGGTTTGCTGCTCCTCAAGAACAGCCATCAAAAGGAGACACCTGGTTCAGAGGTGCCTCCTGATCATGCCTGGCACTAATGTGGCTGCTCTCATGGGGTTTTACTGGTGCTGGGCTCAGCAGGATAAGCCAGTCTGAGTCTCAGAGAGGTGTTTGCCTGGGGGTTCACCTGTCAAGGGGAGCTGTGGAGTTCACACTGAGAGACATTCAAGCCTTGAGGTGGTGAGCAACTCGTTAGGAAGTCTCTTCAGACTTTGCCCACTCCTCCCCTTCCCCCACCACAGGCAAGGGATGACCTGAGTTCTAGAGCTTGGTCACCAGAGAAGGAACAGCAGAGGGGACACCAGTCACAAGAGCTGGTGCACATTTCCCAATCCATATGTCTCAGTTCCCATTTCCCTTCAAGTATGGGATCAGTCCAGCCTGGGCACATGGAATGGGCTGCTGGAAGTGGGACATTGTGGGGCTGTTTCCCACAGACATGATCACCATCAACAAAGCTGCTGGTGGCTCTGTGGGAAGGGAAAGGCTTGTACCACCCATCTGCCACCTGGAGATGTTCAGACCTTGAGTATTCTCCCTCTTTGGAGCTGCCTGTACTGAAGAGACCTCTATAATCTGCCTTTCCTCTGTCCTGGAGGACATCCTGAGAGGAAAACCAGTGGTGGGCCCATCATAAACCCCAGCACAGACACAAACACTCACGTTTTTATCTCTGTCCTGGCTGGGTTCCCCTGGAGCAAGCTCCCCAATGAGCAATGGCTTGAGAAACTTCTGCACCAAGGTGGGATTGATATGGAAGGCCTGGAATGCATCCTGGAGTGGAAATACAAGTAAGTGTGTGAGATTCAGGAGGAAAAAGATGTTGCTTCCTACCCCTTGTGTCAACCCCATCCATCTCAAGTGTCCTCCTCTGCAGTTGTCCCCCCCATGTCACTGCAGGAGGGGTGCCAGGGTGACTGCCACCCTGCAATACTTCTGCTGGAGGCTGGTGAATTTGCTTGGCCAGCAGGCAAGCAAAGAGTGAGACATATGGTGGAAGGCACCTCAAGAAATTTGTTCTAAGCAACTAAATACCTAAATCCTGTTAAATCCCTCAGAAGGTAGGCAGGGAGGAATTTGTGTAAATCCCCACTGGGATATAAATACCCTTGGAAAGTTCAGCTGCCTGGAGGCAATTCAAGAGAGAGGGTGACTGTGGTGACTCAACCTGGGCATGACTGCAGGTAGAACAAACATCTTGGCCAGACCTGTAGATCCCAGCACTAGCACAGCTGAGGAAAATGTTATTTTGGAGACTGTCTTTCTCTTTTTGTTCTGTCAGATGAGGTATCTGACTGCTACCTTGACCCTGCTGTATTCTAGAACCATATTCTAGCTCCAGAGGCATTTCTACCTCCATGCAACTCCAGGTAAAATGTCTTAGAAAGGAACCAAACCAAAACCTCAGTTGTTTACCAGAACTTGAAGCAACTGCTTTGAAGTGTTTGCTGTCAAACTGTGCAGTGGCAAGGACCCCATTTGAAAAAGGCCTCACACCAAAAAGCAGTTGGATTCATTCCTCTGAAAGGTGTTTAACATTCACCTCCAAGAGCTGATAGTTATCAATACCTGTGATAAGACTCCTTGTCATTTCTCCTGTGCTGTGGTTTAGAGCTGCTTGTCCCTCCAAGAGGCCCTTGGTGACACTTGTGTGCACATTTTTTTTTATTCAGGACGTGCCCTGAGCACTGAAGACATTTTTACTCTATTCCTTCAAACATGTGATAAAAGACATAAAGAGCTTGTTAAGTTTCAGCAACAGAATCTAACTGAGGGATGAGACTGAATGTTGATGTAAATTCTGCAATAAATCCTAGCCCATCCACTCCTGAGGCTGGGAAAGCAGGAAACCCAGCTGGAATAATATTTTTCTTACATATTTTCAAGGCTTCTTCCAATATGGAAAGAAAATGCCTTGTTTGTAGAGTCTTTTTGATCCTGAGTTTGCCTGCCTCTTATTTTTCTGTACTCCTTCCCCTTTCCCCAGGTTTCTACCTACCAGTGTCCTACAGGTGCCTGATGGGAGCCTAAATTTGATGTATGTAGCTGATATTTGTATCTTAACTGGAGTTAACTCCAGATGATCACTCAGAAGAGCTGTAAAAACTGTCATTACACAAAGAGCTAAGACTGATACAGGAAAAACCAGTCAAAACCAGAAGTCAGGAGTACCATCCATCAGCCTTTCCACCTGTGTCCCATGGCCTAACAATAGTAGGGACTACCTAAACATCTCACTTCTGGATTTAAACTGGGATCTTCAAACACCAAAGGTCAACTCCCAGAAGGGACAGACTGGAAAGTGCTCCTTGTGTCCAGCTGACCCTCCTGGGAGTTGACCTCTGGTGTTTGAAGGTACCAGCCAACAACCTTCTTCTCAAAGTCCACCAAAATCACTAGAAGCTTCCACCTGATTCCAAGACTTTGGACTGAGCTTCAAAGGAGTGCTCTGAGCACATAAATGTTGCTGGGGGAGGCAGATAAGTGGGGGAGAGTGAAAGCTGATCTGAGATGTTTGACTTGAAGTTAAAGAAATAACATTTGAAAAGTTGGGAGATGGAGCAGCTGGGGGGAGGGGTGGGTGGAAAAAAGGCAGCTATGGGTGCAGGAGAGAAATAAAACTCTGTGGTAAGATTTAAACTATAAAAGACATAAAATGCCAGGGGCTGTGGGGGAAGAAGTAAGGAAAAGGAAAAAAAAACAACCTCATGTCAATGGGGGAGGCTACAATGGAGTAGCAGAACTGGGGGGGAGCAGATCAGCCTTTGTTACTGGTGCTCCAGTTCTTGTAGCATTTTCTACCCTTGGACCCATAAATGTTTCCCTGAAATGTAGCTCTGGTTGCTTGTTTCCTTCCCTGGGACAACTTGCAGATGATGTGAAAGAAGAGGGAAGAGCAGAATGAATGGGGAAGTGAAGAACTGGCTGTACCTGCAGCAAGGTTTTGCAATTTTGGGGTGAAAAAAGGGGAAAGAGGAAGAGGGTGAACACATAAGAATGTTGTCTCAATATTATTTAAGCCAATAGAGGGAAAAAAAGTCTCTGGAGGTCTCTGCTGCCTGATCACCATGCTGGAGATCTTGCTTATTTGTGTGGTCTGAATTGGGGGAGGTCTCAGAACATCAGCTTCTGCATGACCACCTAGAAGGTATTTTTATCTACCTGGGGCATCCCTGCCAGTAGCTTCTGCTTTCTAAACATGCTTAGAAATGTTCTGTCATGGCTTTGGCAGAGAGAGGATGCAGAGAATGGGCTTTTTCAGGGTAGCCTCCAAGCAGGACAGAGAATAACATCTCCTGAATGCCTTCCTACAGTGATGGAAGGATTGCTTTTTTATTAGCTATATAATGTATAGAGAGCTATATAAGTTCATGCTTCTCCTTTTCCAATAGATCTTGGATATAAGATACTGCCTGAGTCTTGGAATTGGCCTCAGTTCTGCACTGGAAGAGATAAAAAGCAAAAGGTAAGTCCCTGGGAAGGGCCATGTGGGATTTCCACCTGACCTCCCAACTTTGTGGTCTTCTGGCTGAATAAGCTGAAGTGTCTTATGGGATGTGGGCAAGTGGGAATTACTCCACCTGCTTTTGGTGAAAAAAAGAGCTTCATGTTCTTGAGCTGTGAACTGCAGCTGAGCATTTGAAGTGCTTAGTGCAGTCAGGACAAGGATGTCCTTTCCCATCCTTGAAGATCTCTGACAAGAGAGGCTGAAAAAGTGCCCCCTTCATTTTCTGAAGGCAACAGAGCATGATGTGATCCCAGTTGTCCCAGACTTGGACGTTGCCTCAGCACGTTCAGTACAGCCCAAAATGAATGAATGCTCAGTGTTGTTAGTACATGTAGAGGAAATCTCTGCATAACCTGGGCACTCCTCCTCTGCCTGGTATGAGCTGAGCACACTGAACAGAGCAGCTGCCATGGAAGCTCCTCAGTTAGCTGTCCTTGAGCATCCTGAGGTGAATCAGCTCACCCATGGCCAGGAAGGGTAGGTTTAGAGTGGCCTGGCATAGATGTGGAGTTCAGTGTGTCAGTGGGCAGCTCGTGGTAGATGGACAGACATGATCCTCTAGAGGATGAGTCCAAGAGAAGTGGATGAGATGCTGAGGTTCCTTTGGGGTGTGTTTGCTGGACTGCAGGTCCTGACTGCACCTGGTGCTAAGGAGAACCTGAGGAAGATGAAACCTAGTGAAGAGCTACGAGTGTAAATAGGTCAACCTGAATTTTTATCATTGCCTTTTCCTCCTCCCAAACTCTCCCAGTTCTGGTATCTTGCAGCACAGAATGAAACCTGCGGGTTAAGCAAGGCCAAGGCTTTCACAGCCTGAATGAGAGAGATTTTTTGGCAGGAAACTGTTATTCAGCCCAGGGAAGCTGGAAACCAGATTCCAGTTCTGGTTTTGGTGCTCAGAATGGTGACGAACAATTTTAGAGCATTTTTGAGGCTGTGCCTTCATGGAGGGTGCTCTGAGTAAAGCAGGAGGTGTGGGAGGGGGACCCTCAGTAGTAGAATCACAAGCCTGTGTTTCAGCCTCCCCTGCAAAGATCAGAGACCAAGATGGTTTTTGGTTTATAGGGGAGACACTGGAGTTAAATTCTTGGGGATAGGAGTCAAACTCCTCTGCTTTAAGCACACCTGCCTCTAAGCAGCTGAAACTAAAACCTGGCCCATCTTTTTGAAGGAGAAAGCTATTGATTTATGATTTATTGGAAGGGGACAGGAATG